ATCTATCTATCTATCTATCTATCTATCTATCTATCTATCTATCTATCCATCCATCCATCCATCCATCCATCCATCCATCCATCCATCCATCCATCTATCTATCTATCTATCTATCTATCTATCTATCTATCTATCTATCTATCTATCTATATTTTTGCTTGTTACACCCACTGCCAGGGCTGGCTGTTGCACGGTATGGTAGCATTTTATCGGGTTCTATCTCACTTTTGGTCAAAGGAGGCTCGTTTTGTGAAGTTGGGCAACCACCATTGGGTGTATAGGTTAATAATTGTGTGCCTTCCTGATGAATTGACCCTTCAGTCATTATGTTGTTAGATGTTTGTAATTCCTAAGGGGTTTTTCTGTTTCTCTTAATTCCATTTTGTCAGATGTGATGACTCTGAGCAACACACCTGGAGATACAAGATGGTAGAAAAGGTGTAGGCCCTGGGGGACAGTCATGATAGAGAGAGAGTGGGTCAGAAAAGGTTTTATTGATTTGTTGAGGTCCAGAGTGGTATAGCTGACCACAGAAGCAGGGTCAGTCAGGGGTGGAAAAAAAGAGGGTCACCAGCTCTCCTGAGACCTGGTGGAGGAGGAAAACACCAGGGCTTCTAAATGGTTGAGCTACCTTCCGGCTTCTCTTCAGATGGTGTACATCTTTCTTCTGGGCTGAGCCTGCATGAGTGGGAACTACAGGCTGGTAGTTGATGTACCAAGTAAAGGGATGTAGTCCCATGCCCTGATGCTCCAGTGGGTCCTGGAAATCAGTAGCTGGATTTCTGGCCCGAGCAGAGGCCACAGCAGGCCTGGCGGGAGCAGGCAGGGCGGCAGAGCAGGGACACAGAGGAGGCAGGGCGGCAGCAGCTGGGCTGGAAGGAGGAGGCACAGCAGGAGGAGGTGGGCACGCAGCAGGCGGGTCTGCACACGGGGCGGCAGAGCAGGGACATGCTGGAGCAGGGCTTGCAGCAGACAGGAGCACAGCAGGACGGCTGGCAGCATGAGGAGGAGCCAGAGCAGATGGGTGTGCAGCAGACAGGCACACAGCAGGATGGATGGCAGCATGAGGGCTGGCAGCATGAGGACTGGCAGCATGAGGGCTGGCAGCTAGACTGCTGGCAGCATGAGGAGGATCCACAGCAGATGGGTGTGCAGCAGACAGGCTTGCAGCAAAGAGTCACACAGCTGGATGACTGGCAGGGGGAGCAGGTGCAGCAAGCTGGCTGGCAGCTAGACTGCTGGCAGCATG